TGGTTGGGGGGTGGGGGGAAGGGGGTAGTCCCCACGTAGTAGGATAAACAAGTAGGGGTGTATGTGTGTGTGTGAGAGAGCAGTCCCCTTGTAGTAGGAAAAACAAATAGGGGCAGGTGTGTATGTGTGTGTGAGGTGTCCCCATGTAATAGGACAAACAAGTAGGAGTGTGTGTGTGTGTGTGAGAAAGAGAGAGTAGTCATACACTTTGAGGACTACTACAGTGTGGCTATTGAAATGAAACATCATGAGGATCGCCCTGAAAATGCCTGAAATCAACTGCTGAAACAGCTGAATGATGAAAAGAAATGGCTGAAGTTCTTTGCTGAAAAAGTTAAAGGTTGAGAAGAAATGGCGGAAGTTCTTTGTTGAAATAGCTGAAGGATGATATGTACAGAATGATTGTGCACATGTCACTAAGCTTGGACACAAAATGGACAATGACATGTCACTAAGAGCATTAGGTGCAGAGCATTAGGTGCAGCTGAGAGACATGGTAAAAAAGAATTGTTTTTGAGAGCGATATATTGTGGATTCAAATGCTTAGATAGTATCTAATGTGGGTCTTTTGTTTTGAAATGCATGCATGCGTGTGTGATATGCAGAGGCCTAACCTTGCCATGACAAGCCTTGATTGGCGGTTGACAGCGTACACTCACTGAAGATAGGTCCACTTGTTAAGAAGATGGCAAAGTGAAAATATGATTCGGACTATGTTAAGTATGAATTTACTTACATAAATGATAAAAATGGACATAAGCCTCAATGTGTGATATGCAGTGAATTACTGGCACAAGAAAATATGAAGCCGTCCAAGTTAAAAAAAACAGTCAAATACTTTCAAAGAGTACTTCGGGACCTGAGGACCACCGAGAAGAGACTGCTGTTCTCGTGTTTCAAATCAGAGCAGGCACTATGGGCCTCATACCTTGTAGCTCAACTAATAGCAAAGGCCAAGAAGCCACATACAATAGCAGAGGAGCTCATCTTACCTGCGGCCCTGGACATGGTCAGAGAGGTATTAGGCCAGTCAGCAGCAAACAAGGTGAAGACCATACCACTATCTAATGACACCATAATGCGGTGCATTGAAGACATGTCAGCCAACATAAAACAACATACCTCAGCGCAGATTCTGGCCAGCGCATACTATGCATAGCAGCTGGATGAGTCGACAGATATTGCTAATCATGCCATTTTGCTTGTTTACGTGAGACACGTGTGGGATGGAGACATACAGGAGCAGTTTCTATGCAACCGAGACATCCCCACGTCTACAAAGGCAGAGGACATTTTCAATGCTATTGATTTGTTTTTGGACTTTGTGGGACTGTGGTAACAACTGATGGCGCAGCTTCCATGACTGGAAAAAACTCAGGAGTTGTGATGAAAATCCTGGAGAGAGCGTTGAATGCGACATGGACTCACTGTTTTCTTCACCGAGAAGTACTTGTAGCTAAGGATATGGTGCCAGTGCTTGATAAAACACTGAAAGATGCCATAAAAATAGTGAACTACATTAAATGGAGCATCAAGAACAGCCACTGTTTCACACAGCTGTGCAAAGACCTGGGATCAGAGCACGTCCAGTTGTTGTAGCAGTTGTGGTGTTTATTTTTATTTTTGAGTAACATTTCCTAATTGCAGACAGAAAAAAATTGACACAAAGGCTGTACTGACAGTTTTTTTTAAAGCTTTATAATTGAATTAATTTATTTGAAATCCTGTACTGGTGGGTCGCGACTTGACAAGTGGGTCCCAGGGTGACACCAGTTGAGAAACACTGATCTAGTGTACATAGAAAGAGCACGCTGTCTGAAACAGAGGAGTGGTACAATCCACAAGGTTCAGAGAATGACAACAACACCAGCTGTAGTTTCACTGAAGCATATTTTAGAACTAAGTGCTGAAGTGTTTCATGAAGGGAGCATTATTATGTGCATTATTTATTTCCAATATGCACAATCGAGTAATATGATTATAGATAGGTTGAACATATGAAGTAATGCACTTCAGGTGTAGAAGTCACCAAATATAACTTTTGCGACTCCCAAAGCTGGAATTTCCAAGTGTCCCTGAATGCAACCATGATACTGGGATTTCCGGGTGTCACTGAATGCAGCCATTATACAGCTGAACCGTATTGCCTAAGTTGTCTGTCCATCTTCCGTGTTTTTGGGTGAGTAGCAGTCAATATGTACTTAATTTTTTTAACAGTAAAAATTCAACTTAGGTGGTTTAAATGATGTACAACCGGCTTCTTGCTTATATGTACTGTAACTCAAGGCAAAGAATGAAAATGTAACCTTTCTGACATGGCAAAGAGAACTATTTGTGGTGAGCTAACTAATGAGCTAATAGTTAGCTCGTCAGCAATGTTGTTGATGTCAACCATGAAGCTAATGGTACCATGTTAACTGAAGGTTTAATGGATAAACATAATGCAGCGCTAGAGGTGACTTTACAGAGTAATTCACATGGCAGCATACGTGGTAAATGGGAGTTGAGACAGCTAACTTATTGCTGTTTCCCACAACGTCAATGCTGCTAGCTACCGCACAAGCTACACTCCTGCATAAGGTAACGACGTAATGTGCATGCAGGCCATGATTAACAGATGCTACTCACAAATGTCTGACTCTTACAGTGTCATAACTACTCTTGTGTTCTTATGATAGTTCTTGCTAATTGACAGTTACAAGAAAACATATTTACAGCCAAACTGGTATTGAGAGGGAGCAGAATTTTGCCAACTATATATTTTGCTTATTTCTTGTTTTGTTTTTTAAATACTGGCAAGTTGTATGATAACTGCAGTGACTCATTGCATATTTACACATGTACAGCAGATATTAAAATATTGTTTCCTCTCAGACACAGAATGTTGATCCTGCCCTGTGCTTTACTTTGTAAGTAGAGAAGTACTCCTGCTAAATATAAAATAAGATTGTATAACATGAATATGTACACTCACTGGCCAATTTATTAGGTACAGCTGTACAATTGTATGCACTTCAGTGCAACACTTCTAGCTGAAGGTATGCTGAACTTATTAAGATGTGAAAATAGTCCAATAGGACTGTTAGAAATTAACCCAATTCTTTTGTTGGAAGCATGAGAAGTGAAGACAGGAGAAGACTGTTTAAAATCAACAGAAAGTTTACTGAAAGTCTGAGCACAGGTAGGTGTTACAGCGCTGGGATCAGGGAGACAGAGCTCCCGAGTAGTTCCATTCTCTGAACCCCAAATTAAGTTTTTACAATACATTTTATCTTCTTGGGCTGCTCCGCCCTGGACAGGGGTGCAACCTTCAATAGTTCGTGATCCTATTGGTCATTTGGTGTGAGTAGGTCAACCCCTGCCTGAGCTTGTTTGCTGATAAGTGATCTAGACAAGGTGCGTGTGTGTGCGTGTCTCCAGCACCCTGATCTTGATCAAGGTGCGCTGATCAATGGGTGGCCTGAGTTGCAGGCCCCCTGTATGTGTGATGCTAATAAGTATGTTAAACTGGCCAGGTGGTCATCTCAGGTTGTGGGCCCCCTGGCGCTGCAGGGCACCCCAAAACAAAGCAGAATCTTGGAATATGCTAAGTGGGTCTATGTGTGAGTGTTAAACAGGCCAACAGGTCTCTGTTAAAATGTAAATAGGCTGTCTGGTCACTTAGGAGATGCAGACATACTGTCTCTACACAGAAGTTAGAGCAGGCAGTTTCTACTTCAGTATCACTTGATTCTCAGCAATGCAATTGTAAGATATATATATATAAGCAAGGAAAATAAATGCATTAAGAATAACCAAAGCTCAATAGTTCTGGAGAATCATCAATACAGCTGTAATATGTATAGACAAGGAAAATAAAGTTATGAAAGGTAACTAAAGGGAACTAAAGGTATGAGAAGTAACTAAAGCTTATAAAGTAGCTAGTCTATAAGACTCAAATCTTACACATCTGTGTTTATGAAGCTCAAATTGTTTGTCAAAATGTTAAAGGTGGTGTTGTACTGAACTTAATTATATTCAGAGGTGATCCTAATATTCTGACCTTCTCCTCATGTGAATGGGCATGACAAAAATATACAGACACCTCTGAATACAATGTAGTCCAGTACACCACCTTTAACTATGGCCTCAATAATGAACATATAATAGAATTTATACATTTATGAGATTCTCACCAAAAACTGGAACATTTTGAGTTTCATAAACGCAAATGTTAAGGCAGAAGAAGTGTTGCACTGAAGTGAATACAGATGTACAGGTTGTCAGGTTTGCTCTATGCCTCCTGCCTCCCTTCGCTTCTGATTCTCTGTTACAGGTCCTGGCTCCAGCAGTGCGCACAGCTGAGGTGCATCATCTCATCAGCGGCTTCCGAGGTACCACACAGCTGAGTCAGGTTACCTATCACCGACGCCAGTACTTAAGACATTGGCGTACAATCACTCATCGCCAGTACGTTGACGAATGCCTTCTCATCCTTTGGCCTCATCATACAAGAAGCTATGCTCACTCAGCGACACTACTAAAAAGTAAGACTGTTTACTCCTCCTCACCCTTCTGTCTAGACTTCTTGGTTTCCCGTCATTACTCGAGCGATCTGCACCTCTGACTCTCTCCATTCAGTCTCTGCCTGAGTGACCTGCTGCCAGTCATCTCTCCTCTTCATCTTCCTCGAGCCCAGCCATCTCCGCTCTACCCCACCTGAGTTCGCCGGCTATACTCACCTGTCTGAGCTTGTCTTCATTTCCTCCATCTGCCCTGCATTGCCACCTCCAGCTCCCCATCTGTGGACCCCTCGAGCTCTGCCTCCTCTGGCAGACATTTCCAGCATATTGACTGTTATCTCCATAACTTGTTTTCTCAGTGCAATAAAGTTTGTGATCAGTATTGCACCTGCCACCCGGGTCCAGCCTGTTCGCTCACTCGCCTCTGCGAGTGCTCACCATAACACAGGTGGTCATAATGTTATACCTGAGTGTATATTGATTATTAATCTGTTCATTACTGAAAAGTGAAAAGCTAAACTCTCCATTTTCTGTCTTCATGTCTCTAGTTGCATACCATGACTGTCTGTGATTCCACACTGCCTCTGAACAGTAAGTAAAAAATAAAATATGACTTTGTGATGTTAAAGTAATTTATTATTTGTTTAAAGTGTTGAATGCCTTCCCAGCATAGTAAACTTTTTCAATAGGAATTACATAGGCCTTCATCAATTTATTTAAATAAATTATCGTTTTAAGTATTCCACTGTGGAAAACAAAACTGACATGAGCTTCTAGTATATCTGTGAAGAAATAGAACTCATTTTCTTTCTCTCTTCCCATTCCTTCTGGCCTACTCCCTCCTGTCTCTGAGTCTAGTCTGGCAATGTGCTGACACCGTGGCCATACAACAGCAAGTTCACATACTGCATATGAATGAAGACTTGGTAAATGCACACTTACTGAAATCATTAGTAAATTATTTTCATGACACCTGCAATTTTGACATTATTCAGACCACAGCTGGAAATGCAGTGTTAATCAGGTTTGTGGTGATTGGTTTATCTGTTTAGGTGAAGACTTTGAATCAGAATCTGCTTTATTGGCCAGGTGTGTAGGACACACGAGGAATTTGACTCTGGTACATCGGCTGTCAATGTGCATGTACATATCCCCATGCAAGGGGTAAGTAAACAGTAAACCAGCATAAGGCTGTGTATTATAACAAAATAAGCAGTATTAGCAGCAACAAACAGTGCAAACAATGCAAAATAAGCAGTATAAACAGGCTGTAAACAATGCAGATAAAGGAATGCTCTCTGTGAAACGAGATAAATAGGAATAAAAATAGAGACCTGTACGTATATACAGTGGGGTAAATAAGTTCTTCCTGAAGTCCACCGTCATCTCCACTTTGAGCGTGTTCAGCTCCAGGTTGTTGCTGCTACACCACAGGACCAGCTGCTCAACCTCCCATCAATAGGCTGACTTGTCATCATCTCAGATGAGACCAGTGACCATTGTATCATCAGCTAACCTTAGGAGCTTAACAGAGATGCGGTTGGTGATGTAGAGTGAAAACAGCAGAGGGGAGAGCACACATCCCTGGGGGGTGCCTGTGCTTATTGTCTGGGTGCTGGATGTGGTTTTCCCCAGCCTCACCTCCCGCTTCCTGTCAGAAAGCTAGTAAGCTACTGATAGGTGGGGCAGGCACAGTGAGCTGGGTCAGTTTAGAGTGGAGGATGTGCGGGATGATGGTCTTGAACACCGAGTTGAAGTCCACAAAGAGGGCCTGTGCATAGGTCCCTGGGGAGTCGAGGTGTTGCAGGATGTAATGCAGTGTCATGTAAACTAGCAGGGGGTCTACGGTGTCCTTCAGGTGGGCCAACGCCAGCCTTTCAAAGGACTTCATAACTACAGATGTCAGGGTGACAGGTCTGTGGTCATTCAGTCCACTAATGGGGGTTTTCTTGGGGACTGGGATGATGGTGGAGCATTTGAAGCAGGAGGGGACTTCACATAGCTCCAGTGACTTGTTGAAGATGGGGGTCCAGCTGATCACACACTTTCAGGCATGAGGGGGTCACACCATCTGGGCCTGGTGCCTTTCTGATCCTTTGTTTTTTTAAACAGGCCACACACATCATTTTCACAGATCGTTAGAGGTGGGGGGGCTGGAGGGAATGGTGGTGATTTTCGGGGGAGCAGCTGCTGGGACTGAGGTGGGGAGGGTGAGGGCGGGAGTGTTGTTTGTCAAACCTGCAGTAGAACACATTCAGGTCGTCTGCTAGTTGGTAGTCCTCCACAGCATGGGGAGGATGGTTTTCTATAGCCTGTGATGCTTTTCAGACTTCTCCACACAGACGAGGTGCCGTTGGCTGAAACCCGAGCTTTGACCTTTTCAGAGTAGCTCCTCTTTGCTGCTCTGATCTCCCCTGTTAGTGTGTTCCTGGCCTGGCTGTACAAAGCCCTGTCTCCACACCTGTAAGCCTCCTCTTTGGCATGATGAAGCTGCTTGAGTCTTGCTGTAAACCAGGGCTTGTTGTTGTTGTTGTTGTTGTATGTGCAGGAGGACTTTTTGGGCACACATACATCCTCACAAAAGCTGATATAAAATGTCACAGTTTCAGTGAGTTCGCCCAGTTCTGTAGCTGCAGTCTCAAATACACTCCCGTCTGTGCAGTCAGTGATCAGAGAGTCCAAGGGCTGTGCAGGGGACAGAGCGATAGGTGTCTTTTATTGTGTAGCAGTGGTCCAGTGTGATTTTTATCCCTGGTGGGACAGGTGATGTGCTGTCTGTATTTGGGCACTTTGTGGGTAAGATTTGCTCTGTTAAAGTCCCCTAGAACAATGTGTGGAGAGTCGGGATGTTCTAGCTCCACGCTAGTTATCTGTTCTGCTAGGAGCTGTAGTGTGCTAGTGTGGGCCTGCGGCTTTAAATAGGCACCCACCAGCTTGAAGCTCGAAAATTCTCGGGGAGAATAGAAGAGTTTGCAGTTGAACACTGAAATTTGAAGTAAAAGTTGCTTATTTGAATTTCTCTTTGGAAAAGAATTCTAATGAATATTTCATTTTGTCTTACAGGTGTTCTGCTGTCCGGTGCCTCTCTTGTCCCTATGTGTAACAGGAATTCTATCTTTCTTGTCCCACTCTCTGTTTTTTGAACTTTTGGACAGCTTGATGAATTTTGAAACACTTTGATGAACCTGTGTCTTGGAACACATTTATTGTACCCTTGTTTATGGACAATCAGGTTAGTGGTACTTGGTCTACCTATCTTTATTGATCTGAGAGTCTCTCTGCTCTCCTGCTCTATCTTCTAATAAATCCAATTGGTAGACACTGTCTAATTCTATATTTTTGCTAATTGGTTATAAATTTGGAAATATTGTATTTGCAAAACACATTGATTAGTAATAGAATGTTGTTTAAGTAGAATTTTTTTACTCACATTTTATTAAAAAATTTTGAAAATATTTAATTTGACCTTTTTTTCAGTCAGATCAACCATTGGCTCATAATTTATATAACTCATAAATAAATTGATAGTGCTCACTTTGAATTCATATTTTATTCTTGAGAAAAGAGAAATGTTTAAAAAGAATAAATACATAAGAATTGGACCCGCAAAACAAGAGCACTGTAGCTGTTCCTGACCCATGTTGCTGTTGGCCATTCCAGACTTGTCCAGGTTTGTACTCAAAGGTTTGATCGACATGAAATATCTGTATTCATTCATACTACACCTTCCGGTTCCGCTCCGTGCGGAGTGGCAGTGAGCTGCAACAGCTCTGCCTTTTTTGTTTTTATTTTCGTGTTTCCTTGGGCTTCTGTGTTTGCTTTTTTTGCTCTCTCTTTTCCATAAACGCTTGTGGATATGGGCTACGAGGGATACAACTTTTATTACGTTTGCATCGTGTTTTGTACTTTTTTACGAGCTTTTGAGTCTGCCTCGGGGGGGAGCCTTGTGTCGCGGCCTCGACTGTTTGCTCTGCTTGCCAACAATCGGATTCCTTGTTGTGAGTTGCCGGGGATTCCCACGGGGATGCGAGGAGAGGGGCGAGTCTGCAGAACTGGAGCAAAGCACGGAGAGAGGAAGTGGAGTGAGGCACTGGGGGACACAATGGACGAGCTGGCCATGGTGGCGGCGCTGCAGCTGGTGTGAAAAAGGAGAGGTCCTGCACGCGCTTACCCGGGACTCCAGGATCTGTGGTCCATGGTGACGGCTCTCCACTGATCCCTGGGCCGGCTCTGCTGCTGCGTGCAGGCGCACGGTGTCTTGGTGGACACAGCACCCGCAGGCCCTAATCCTTATCTCGGGGACCTCGACCATGCCATGTCTCCCTCCCCCTCTCTGCCACCCTCCTACACAAAGAATAAAACTCTGGACCATACCGTATACTAATGCTAGGAGAGCGTACACTTCTGCCCCTCCCCCTCTGACCACAGACTGCCCTGTCTATGATTTGAGTGAGAGCGATATCTGTTCCTGACTTTCTTTGAAATACTTGTACTGTCTTGTTTTTTGGGTATTCTCGATTTGTTTTTTAAGACGCGCCGCAAGGAGCGGCAGCAAGTTCTAGTAGCTCTGTCCTCTTTTTGTTCTTTTCTTTCCGTACTTTCTGAATTTTTCTATCAAGATTGGTGTGTGGTATCTATTCTTATGGTGTCTTGTTGCTTGCTCTCTGTTGTTTTTGTCCCTTACTGCTGTTGGAACACTGGAATTTCCCCACTGTGGGATCAATAAAGTTCTACCATACCCTACCCTACCCTACCCCTATTTGGAAAAAGTCAATGTATGCATTTTGCTGTTGTAATCTTAAATAAAAACAAACACACAAGAGTAAGGAGGACCTGGATTTATTTGTTGTGGAGGTTGCCTGTCTGCAGACACAGCATTGCTGGGCCTGACTAATTGACACCTAGTGGAATCCTGCAAAGCCAGAAGCATCATCTCACCAGACACCTGACTACCAGAATTGTGTTGTTGATTTTGAATACAAAACTTTACACAAATCCCAAGCGATAGCAACATCAGGAAGAAGGAACACGAGAAGTTTGAGAAATACCAAGGACTGAAAGAAGAGCTAGAAAAGATGTGGAAGGTGAAGGCACAACTGGTCCCCGGTGGTAACAGGAACATTGGGGGCTGTGACCCCCAAACTGGGAGAGTGGCTCCAACAGATCCCAGGAACAACATCTGAGATCTCTGTCCAGAAGAGTGCAGTCCTAGAAACAGCTAAGATACTGCGCAGGACCATCAAGCTCCCAGGCCTCTGGTAGAGGACCCAAGCTTGAAGGAAGGAATACAAGACCGCCCCAAAGTGGGGGGCGAGTGGGGAATTTAATATATACAGTGGGTACGGAAAGTATTCAGACCCCCTTGAACTTTGCGACCTTTTGCCACATTTCAGGCCTCAAACATAAAGATATAAAACTGTAATTTTTTGTGACGAATCAACAACAAGTGGGACACAATCATGAAGTGGAACGAAATTTATTGGATATTTCAAACTTTTTTAACAAATAAAAAACTGAAAAATTGGGCGTGCAAAATTATTCAGCCCCCTTAAGTTAATACTTTGTAGCGCCACCTTTTGCTGCGATTACAGCTGTAAGTCACTTGGGGTATGTCTCTATCAGTTTTGCACATCGAGAGACTGAAATTTTTGCCCATTCCGCCTTGCAAAACAGCTCGAGCTCAGTGAGGTTGGATGGAGAGCGTTTGTGAACAGCAGTTTTCAGTTCTTCCCACAGATTCTCGATTGGATTCAGGTCTGGACTTTGACTTGGCCATTCTAACACCTGGATATGTGTATTTGTGAACCATTCCATTGTAGATTTTGCTTTATGTTTTGGATCATTGTCTTGTTGGAAGACAAAGCTCCGTCCCAGTCTCAGGTCTTTTGCAGACTCCATCAGGTTTCCTTCCAGAATGGTCCTGTATTTGGCTCCATCCATCTTCCCATCAATATTAACCATCTTCCCTGTCCCTGCTGAAGAAAAGCAGGCCCAAACCAGGATGCTGCCACCACCATGTTTGACAATGGGGATGGTGTGTTCAGGGTGATGAGCTGTGTTGCTTTTACGCCAAACATAACGTTTTGCATT